GAAGAAGAAGAAGAAGAAGGAGAAGGATTGAACCTCCAGCTCAGCCCCAGGCTGTGTCTGACAGAATGAGAACAACTAAAAAAGTTGATGGAAAAATGAAACAAAATGAACCAGAGTTTGTCCAACAGTCCAACAGCTGTGAGACACGAGGGCCGACAGGAAACACCGAGACCAGAGTCTGGACCCAGAGGCTGACAGTAACAAACAGCACCTCAGTCTGTCAGAACACGAGGACCAGACACCGATGTAGAGATTCATCACAAACACCAAGCGTCCTTGACAATGACAGTGAGCTAACATCTGCGTGCTAACATCTGTGTGCTAACAGGCACCATCTGCAGCAGCATGGTGAATAATGGCTTTAGTCGGTTTTACAGGAGAACAAATATTTATCAGCAAACAAACACGCGGTAGCATCGCTAATGAAGGAGCGTCAACTTAAATAAACCCACGGTTAGCTGCAGAAAAAAAAAATCCGAGCAACTGCAACGTGTGAGAACTGAGGAACTTTTTCTAGAAACCACCACAGTCCAGTAGCCAAGCAGAAGACTAGCTAAAAGTTAGCCCCAATTTTTCACGGCATTATAAGGTTGATCAAAGTTTAGAAAAAAAAGGAGCAGAAGACTAGCTAAAAGTTAGCCCCATTTTTTCATTATAAGTTCGATGAAATGGTTCCGAAAAACAAAGACTGTTTAATAAAATAAGCAATAATTTAGGCGGGAATATTTGATGGTTAGCCAACATGTGGCTAATAGTTAGCAAGCAGCTGTGAAAAACCCAGAGGATAATTGACAGTTAGCCCAGAAAGCTTAAGGCTAGTCAGGATAACAGCTAAAAGATATCGTAGAGCTTTTAAATAGCTAAATGCTAACCAGAAATATAAAAAAAAGATCGACAAAATGTCTGGAAAAAAAACCCCAAAACTTCAGAGATAGGAGAAATGATGAAGAAGGTGGCCCAGAAAATAACATTAGTCTGAAACATTTTTTAGAACAGATCAAACAGAGGTGAGGATTACTAAAACAAACAGATTAACAGGAAGAGATGTCTCTGGACCATCAGTGACGCCCAGTCATCTGGTCCTCATCATGAACTGACATCATGTGACCGAGCAGCAGGAGGACAGCGTGTGGAGAACATGTCCAAACAGCTGCAGCGTTCAAACTGCCAAGGCTTTTGGAGAGAAAATGATAAACAGGCTACAGTATCTGAGCATCATCTGACAAACTGCAGCTCCGTCTGCACTGGGAGATATCCGTCGTGTTCATCCATCAGCTGGCAGTCGAACAGAGAGAGGGCTTCTATCTGGGTGACGTTCCTCTGGGATAGATCCGACGTCTTATATCAATTCATCTTTTCATTTTCTTTTTTTTTTTTATCTGACCACACAGGCTCTACTTCACACTGAGGAAGAAATCTCCAGGCCTGTCAGTGAGCGTCAGCCCCTGTGATCAAGCCATCGACTGGAGTCTGGCCGCACGCACCCTGAAGGACAAACCCTTCAAGAGTCTGCAGTGTGAGTGGACTTCGTAAAACAACACATCTGTCTGCAGTGTGAGTGGACTTCGTAAAAGAACACGTCTGTCTGTCTCAGAAATCTCACAAAAAGTCTGTTTAAAGAAATATAATAATCTTCTAGTTTAAATGACCTCATAATTGACTAAAATCTCGGCCTGTTTAGTTGAAAACAATGCTGATATACTGGCAGGAGTTGAAGAAAGACACTCACAAAGATCTTCAACAGCTCAGATTTTTTTTTTCAGTTTTAACAGCCATCTGCTGCCACTTAGCAGTAGAGGATTTAATTGCTCTGCCTGTCACGCATTGACAAACAAAGAAAAAATGTTTGGAATAAATAAATTGCATCAACAGCATTTGTTGATCGCTCCACAAAACACACTGTTGGGAACAACACAATTACTCAAAAAAGCTGATTTTCTTTATCATCTTTCAGGTCGTACTGTGTAGAAATGACCAGATTTCTACTATAAACTGACCTTCAGCTTCAGCTTTTTTCTTCCCTTTGATTGAGAGCTTTTTTGGTAAACTTTAGCACTTTGACTTTTCAGACTTTGTAAAAGTTAACTGTCTTATTTTACTGTGTCGTTAAAAAAATCTTTCATGGGAATATCAACGGTGATTTTAAACATTTCAAGGTCATTTCGCCCCGAGCCAAGACTAATCTCTCACCCTGGTGTAATCATTCCATGTCAGACGTGAAGCTAAAACTCTTTATAAAGAAGAGTCGTAAGGTTTGGCCTTTTTCTTTACGACCGCAGCTTTGACACCGGTCCGCAGTGATGGAGTCTGAACTGTTGGAGGAAAACTTTTCTATCATTAGTTTGTCCCCGACTGAAGTTAAAAACACTGGTGAAAACACTAAAAATGTTTATTATAAATGTATTAACTGCTGTTTTTGTTCAAATAAATAGGATTTATTCTTCTGAAGATCAACCATTTATGATTTTTACCTATTCTACAATTTCCCAACAGGGAGCTCCAAAAAGAGCGTGCCTGAAGTGTGGTGGCACGGTCCTGGCTCGGAGGAGAAACTATACAGCTTCACTGGCATCACTGAGGACACCTACAGGGGTCCTTCCTACCCACAGGCCTCAGTCTACATCCTGAGGCTGCGCTCTAAACTGCACAACACCAGAGCGACGGTGTCCTTCCACGAAGGTCTGGGACCGTCAGGAACCTTCCCTCTGCTCCCAGCCGACCCTCGCGTTCACACTTTAGGAGTAGGAATGACCAGCGTCACCCTCAGCTGGGCCCCCAGCGCCTCGATCACCAACCTCCACCAATCACAGAAGAGTTACTATTACTGCGTCCTCGTCAACCCTGAACAAAACTTCCCCAGTCTTTGTGCTGCTCAGGAGAACAAGAAATCGGAGAAAAGACAAAAACTGGACAAGAAGCAGAAGAAAAAGAGGAAAGTGACGGAGTGGCCCATCGTGAAGGAGCCGTGGTGGCAGCAGGAGGACGACTCTTATCCAAAAGACCAACCTTCTTCTCTGGCTGATGAACTGAGTGATCCCCAGTGCGTCTGCCGGGGAACGGAAAGCGTTTGCACCATCTCGGAACTTCTCCCTGACACCCAGTATTACTTTGACGTCTTTGTGATGGACAGGCTGAACGGAACAAGCTCAGCGTACAAGGGCACATTTGCTCGGACACACGAAGAGGCTAACCCTGCGATCGGCACGCTCAAAGAAGGAGAGCTGAGATGGGTGACCTTCAAAGACGCGGGGTCCACCTCTGAGCAGTTCTTCACTTTTCGTCCTCGGGGTTGGCAGCAGAGTGGTCTCCTCACCCTGCAGAGCTGCAGTGAAGAAGAGAAAGTCCAGGTCACTGTGTCCAGCAAGAGTCGGGTTTTGACGTCTCAGAATGTGGGAGTGGAAGTTGTTCACATTTGGCTCCATGGAAGTTCGTCGTACCTCGTCCACCTACGGAGAGAAGGGACTATCTCCAAAGGTTCTACCACCACGGACTTGGCTCGTCCTGGAGGTCTGACAGCTTCAGTTAAAATGCAGAGCTCCTCAGCCTACCATCGCAAAGGAATCCCATCTCTGCCTTCCACCTTACAGATAAAGTCCTTCAACCGGTTGCGGAGCTGCAACAGTGTGACTCTGGCCTGGATGGGCACAGAAGAAAGAAGCCTGTTCTGCGTGTACAGCAGGAAGGTGGGAAACGGAGAAGCTGGGGATGGAGATGCTTCAGCCCTGAATGCACCCTGCCTGGGGCCAGAGTCCCGCCCTGACACAGAAAGAGTTCTCTGTAAGTACTTTCAGGAGCTGAATCCTCACCGGGCCGTCACCACAGCTGTGATTGGAGGCCTGGAGCCAGGGATGGCCTATGTGTTTGATGTCTATCTAATGAGACGCTGGGGGATCCCTATCAAATATGCCAGCAAGGTGGTGAAGACCAGGAAGGAATGTTGAGCTACTGCCCCCTGCAGGAGGGCCAAAGATTGTCCCGATATGCCGGGGACACGCTGACCATGATAACGAAGCCATCCGATCATTGTGGAGAGACTGACGCCATGGAGGAGAACTCTCCTGGGACTGAAATCCCATTGGCAGAATTTCTGCAGGTGGATGGAAAGCAAACATGGAGACCCTGTACACCAGCAAAACCTTCATAACATTTACAACACAACTCTTGTCGTGCTGTTGTCGTCATCTTTGAATTTTCTCATTGTTGGACTTTGATGTGCCAGTTGTTCCAGTATTTATTATGTTTGTGAGGACGAAGGACAGACAGAGGTTTGTGTTGATGGAAAGTCACCACAAAAACAACAACAACAACAACAACAACAACAAGAGACCTTGCCAAACATGCAGCAGAAACAGATGGGGCAATAATTGGACAACATCTGAGACTGGGGGGGGGGGGGGGGTAATGGGGGGGGGCAGTGTATATCTTCAGTGCTGCATAATGTACAGGCTCATAAACACAGATGAGTGAAAACTACAGATGCTTAGTTCAAAGTCAGTGTGGATCTTTGTGTACTGCTTTCGCATGGAGCAGTAAAAAAAAAATACTTGGTGACTTGACTCATTGTCTTTGATGTATTCCTGTGCAGCTTCAAATGCACCAATAAATACTGAGGTATCTGTGTCATCGTGACTTTGTCTGGTTGTAAAAAAAAATTTAAAAATGCAGGCAGACCGACTTTTTAAAAGACACAGGGAAGTGAAAAAGTCCTCGGCCAATCACTGATCCTAATCATGTAAATGTATATAAATAAACTTCAGTTTTACCAACTATATGTATGCATAACAAATATGTCTGACTGACTTTTAGTACAATTAAATGCAATCCACTCAGTCACGAACACTTTGACGATTTAAAGACGAAAGGTAAGGACATTTATATATTTTTTTACTCTTTACACCGGTTGCCTGCAATTACTTTTCATAATCCAGTAGATGTCACTATTAAACGATTTACCAACAGCGTCAACACAGTCAAAACACACTTCTTCTCTACTCTTTTATATAGACAGTAATACTTCCTTTACACCAAAATCAACACAAAAATTCCATAATTTTTGCTTCTAAATTTTTAAACTAAACGCAATTATCTCAAAGGACTGTGACAGCACCACATCAAAGGTCAAATGACATTTGTTACACCTTTATTGAACGTCAAATCTAACACGAATTAAACAAAGTCGAATCAAGTAAAGGTTGAATAAAGATATATAAATCTAATATACTATTTATAATTATAATACATTATTTATTGTATCAAAGCAACAGGTTTTCCGTAAATATAAAAAAAAAGAAAAAAAGAAGCTATACTCCATTCCCTACGTATCTGACGGCTACGTCATCCGCATCCAATCAGGTGGCACGTTGCTAGTTACGCAATCACGTTTTCCTACGTACGACTGTGTCTGACAGTGCAGGGCGCCAAATCAACATAGCTAATACGAAACAGTGGAAAATATCCCTCATCTAAACGTGTCTGTGTTCGTGGATTAGAGACTTCAGCCGTGAATTACTCACCAGAGAACAGTGCAGTCCATCTCCTCGAGCTGACGTCACATTCCCAGCCGCCTTCAGAATGGGTTTAATCGAGCGGTGCCAGGAGCTTTTCAGGACCTCCAACCTGTACGATGTGCTCGGATCCACCAAGTCTGCGACCGAGGCAGAGCTGCGGAAGAGCTACTACAAAATGTCCCTGAAAGTCCACCCGGACCGAGCTCCTGAAGATCCGCTGGCCACGGAGAAGTTCCAGGTGAGCGGACAGGACGGGCCTGCGAAGTACTGCTAACAGCTAACACCTGCAAACTCCTCATCACTAGCGGTGGACATACGTATTCCTCTGTATATATATCTCCACGAATTGTAAATGACTTTCACACAGTGTAGTTTTTTGTTATTCGTTGTTCTATTTCTTCAGCTGGAAAAGCTGGTAACATGTTGTTGTTGTTGTAGTTGAAACAGGCCGAGAAACACTAGAAGTTTCTCGACCTGAGACTCGGACCAACTGATGAATACATGTTACGGACAGTGATGTACGTTGTTACCTATACCTCAACTTCAAGCTCCGGAAGTAAACCGGAAATGACTGAACTATTTCCGGAAATAGATTTTAACTAAACATATCATCTCGTTTATTAAGTTAATTGTCATTGTAATTGTTGAAGTTAATAAAATAAAATCCTTCTCCTCTGTAGGTTTTGGGGAAACTTTACGCCGTGCTGAGCGATAAGGAGCAGAGAGCGGTTTATGACGAGCAGGGAGTCGTTGACGAAGAGGCCGACGGCCTGGACCAGGACCGCTGCTGGGCTGACTACTGGAGACTGCTGTTCCCTGAGGTACTGAAACACCTTGGTCAGTCAAGGTGATGCTGGGAATTTTGTAGAGGATCACTGGACGAAATGAGGTTGTGAAGGCATCAGGATGAAAAATTGAATTTTCCTTTACTTGACCATTCCTTTCCCTGTGTGTGTCCGTACTCAGATTACTGTGAAGGACATCCTGGCCTTTGAGGAGAAGTACAAGGGCTCTGACGAGGAGAGGCAGGACCTGCTGCGGCTGTACGTCACACACGAGGGAGACATGGACCTTATCGCGTTGTGGTTGATGTGCTTCACCCAGGATGATGAGCCCAGGATCAGAGGCATCATCCAGGACGCCATCCAGAACGGCGACGTGGAGGCTTTCCCAGCGTTCACCCAGGAGAGCGAGAAGAAGAAGAAATCGCGGAGGAAGAGGGTGAGAAATGTTTGACATTAGTACCAGCACCTTACATTTGGAGCCCCCAGCCCCTGAACCTTTTGTTGTTTCCTGTGACCCTGTAGGCTGACAGAGAGCGCCAGGAAGCAGAAGAACTGCAGAGAGAGCTGGGTCTGGATGATCAGGACGATAGTCTGGAGATGATGATCAAGGTACCAGATGCTGATAATCTCAGGTGATGGTATTATTTTTTAAATACCTATCACTAAATAATAACTTGTTGTTTTGCAGAAAAATCAGAGGTCAAGACAGCAGAATCTCAACGGTTTTCTGTCCGACCTGGAAGCCAAATACTGCAAAAAGAGTGGCAAATCTCAAAGAGGGAAAAAAGGCAAGAAGTGAGGACAGTCTGAGCAGAGATAATGTAAATATAGACAATAGACAGTGATTGGTTTCAGTTGAGATGTTCAAAAGTTGTTTCCTCTTTCCACATATTTACACTTACCAAACTGTTAAACATCGACTGGTTTGTATTTTTAGTTTTTGTGTTAATAAAGTACTTGTATAAATGTGTTGATTGTTGTTGATTCTAAAAGAAAATAAACATATGTATATGTAAATATATATATAATTTCTGTACATTGTATTATATTTATATATGATATATTTATATATATACATTTGTCTAAATATAAACATGTATATTTATATTTACACATGCATATACAGTATACTTGAACTGATCAATATTTTTATTCAACATATATAAACATATCAACATAAATATATATAAATTAATGTGTGTATATGCATATATACATATAGACATATCTACACAGGCATATATAATGTAATTGATCAATAATATTTATTATATTTTATATTCAACATAGCAGAATAGAACCCTGAGACCCCCACCCCCATCAGGATTTCATAATAAGCTCAGCTTAAAGTTGTCGGTATGTAATAAATGTTGCCGTCACACTTGGCCATATTTAGGAAAGAATGTTTTATGAAACTTCTATCAAATATCTTTTTTTTTTTTTGTACAGACGTACGAGTTAATTCTCCTGTTTATTTACAAACGTGAACCTGTGGCCTCTGTTTTTGATTTGATGTTTACATCAACAGAACACTGTTCCTCCCGGTCACTGTGTGCAGTGACCCGTGTCCAGGATGGTCGAACAGAGATACAGTACCAAAGTTTGTTTTTTGTCCCTGTGTGTGAAGGATGTGTTTTTCCCTGCTGTCACTCACACCGGTACAATGTCACACCGCCGACAGAAACATACAGAACATCCACCTATAAATAGATTATATTTACACCACCACGTCGCCCATCGTCCTTGTGTGCTCCCGGTGCTGTGTGTGAAGTTTGTGTCCAGTTCATTTTGGGTTTGGCAGCCACTTGAAGCCATTTTGTGGAAATACAAAAGGCTTCTGACAAAAAAAAAACAGCATAAACTGAAAAATAATATGCTACTGCAGCGAGAGCAACAAAAAAACTGTTCAGTGGGCACAGATGCTGTGGATCTCAGAGATACATGGCTTAATGGTGTGGAGGTCAAAGGTCAGACTACAGGCCTGGTCTGCTGGCTCTGGATGAGATGCCTCCGCGGGTGTAAGATCGAGGTGGGACAGAGACGGGAACCGGAGGAGCTGTGAGGAAAGACGGCTTCAGTTAGAACATCTTCACACGGGTCACTGTGGCTGAAGGAGACCGTCTGCTTTGACCTTTCTGACCTGAAACAGCGGCCTGTGGATCTGGTCCCTCTTCATCCTTGATGGTCAGATGCCCCAAAGGATGATGGGAAAACGTGTCCAAGAAAGACGAGCTGCTGATGCCCAGACTGACACCAGTCACACCGATGCCCAGGGAGTCTGGGGGAAAAAAAATACAGTGATAGAAACTCTAGAAGGGTCAAAGGTCAACATGTCCCTTTTTTTAGTTCTTTGAATGAAATCACATTTATCGATTAAAGTCCAACTTCTGACCTGTTCCCACTGAGGCTCTTCCTGGTCGACCCTGACTGATGTTGTCCAATACGGTGTAGGAACGACGGTACGGAGTGTCCGACTGACAGGAGACACAGAAGTCGGACATGGTGTTAGAACAGAACTCATCAGGACATCACGACTGTGACAGGACACCGAGTCTCACCCTGTATGTGTGAGTGGTGTTTGGACGGGAGAAGACGTCCATCAGCAGGTGGCGCTCTCTCTGCACTGAAGCTCCAGCTTCATCATTGACAGCACTGTCTGTACGACTGGACGCACCTTTATGACGCTGATGGATCTGAGAAAAAAATTTAAAAAATGTATTTCTACAGTGCACAGGCAGGGGTCGCTGTCAAGCAGAAATACTGAGTTTGAACTGTTTTTTTTGTTGTTGGTGTGTCAGGATTTTGAGGGTGTACCTGTGCAGGTTTGGACTGCTGCCCTGAGTGAGACGATTCTGCCTCTCCTGTACTGATGGGGGGGAGGAGTGTGTTCCTGCTCAGAGGTAACAGTGGAGACGAGAGGCGGTCACTGGCTGTGGCTCTGATGGACAAGAGACGAACAGACAGAGGAAACACAAAATGGACATGTGTTCATCATGTCAGCGACAAAACTAACTTGGGGATTTTTGATGATTGAAGTAGAAACAATAAAATAAGAAATCATAAATGTTTGAAACTCACAGACGTGTCCCACGGACCACCTCATCCATGGTTCCCGCTGTGCTGGACTGACTCAGGCTGGGGACCAGCGGCAGGAGAGTGCGTGGTGGGGGGTTTCTGCGTCGAGCCGACTGCGTTGGGCGACCAATGGAGGAGGAGCTCAGCTCCGGGTTCCTACGAGGACGAGGTTTATTGGAGGAGACGGCGCTGGAGCCTGGTCTGTGAGAGGGTCGCTCCTCTGGTTCTCTATATATAAATATATGTATATTTGTATACATACAGTATATAATTATATGCGCACATGCAAATATGTGTATATACAATATATGTGTGCCCATATATTTGCACATATATACATAAATACATTTTAGTAATATATTGTGTATATATATACATATATGCGCACATGCTTATATGTATATATAGACATATATGTATGCATATATTTGAAAATATATATACATTTACTTTTCCTAATACATAAATATACACATATATACGTATATATATATGTGCACATATATTGGCTCATACATACATTTTTTTATACACACATATCTATATGTGCATATATATTATTTTTATATTTTTTCTCAGAGATAAATTCTGTTTATAAGAACAAACGTGAGTTCATACTGGTTTCTTTCCAGAGCTCCCAGGTTCCTCTGCTGCAGGGGGATACTGTGGATCACAATGAGGTCGTTCAGGTTGTGTTGGATCGTACCTGCTCCTCCTGGAAGTCTTCCAGGCTGGACAACGGTGTGACATGAGGGGGAGAAGGTCAGGGGACAAGAGGAAGACAGTGGGGGGGTTAGAGATGAAGGTTTTTTAAAAAACAGGGTTAGGAGAAAAAAAAAAGAGACAAAACATCACGTTATTAACAACCACAGCTTGGTTAGTTTGTTCACAGTATTTACAGCAACATCTCCATCAAATTGTTATTGACATGCAGTTAACGTCAGGACGAACCAACAATCTTCTATTCTAGAGCAGAGTTACAATCACATCACTGACAACAAAACTGAAAGGAAACTAAAAAAAAAAAACATTCCAACATTCTCACTACAAAAGAAAGGGAAAAAAAAAAGCTAACTGAAGCTAACTGAAGCTAACTGATGCTAACTCAAGCTAACCGAAGCAGTTTGTGTTAAACAGCTCGGAGGCGTCTGTGTTAATCAACAGGCACAAGCAGAGTTAGTCTAGAGATGAAGACAAGGAGCGACCATGGGTGGCATGGATACAACACGCCGCCATTTTGGTTCCGGTGAGGGGGGGGTTACATACAGTGGGCGGTCTTTTCTGCTTTTTGGATTTCCGTCTGGACTTGTGCTTTGCGCCGCGTGACTTTGTGTTCTTTAAGTGGGGGGAAAAAAAGTAAGGTTTGACCCAAAGAGGAACAAATGAAGAAGAATCAGATGGGAAAAGATAAGAAGGAAAAGTCAAGATAACAAAAGGAAAGAAGAACAAGAAGAAACAGAGAAGGAAAAAACAGAGACAGGTTAATGATCTGACACTCAAGTGAGGCTGGGGTTGGGGGTTGGGGGGGGCAAATGTGAATTAAACAGATGAACCTGAACAACTGTTCTCTCCACAGAACTCAGGGAAAGATCTTAACCTATACACAATATATATGTACTCTGTATTTATATATGTGTGTGTGTACTGTATTATATATGTGCACATATATAGATTTATATATAGTAGTGTATATCAAGCGAGAGAGAGTGATAGAGAAATAGAGAGAGAAAGGTACACATAAAAATATAAACTTTTATGCACCAGTTTGGCGCCCCCCCCATTAAAACTGTCACCCGCCCCCCTCCCCCTACACACCCAGCTACTCTTATCCGGTGGAGCTCTCACCTGGAGCTGCAGCCCAGCCGTGAGGGGCGGCACCCTGCTGTGGCCCAGTTTAGGCAGCATCGTTGGCAGCGTGGACAGCAGCATGAACGGATTCTGGGGGTCTTGCTGCACAGGGCTCAGATTTCCAGAGAGTTTGTTGTCACCTGTCAATCAAACGTGCACGGTCACTCTATTGTCCAAAAGACGAGCGTTATTTTTTTGACAGACATGAAGTGACGCTCGGGTTTTTACTGGAGGTGCAGTATTCCCACTGCCGCTGGACCAACTCCTTCATCCAGCCCACCAGGTGGCGCCACACGTCATCAAACAGCAGGTCCAGAACCGCCTGGTGGCGGCAGCGGTACGGAGACACGGGAGGCAGAGAGTGGTGTTTCCAACCTGACTCGGACCAATCCTGGGCCCAGTCTTCTTCTCTGGTGAAAAGCAGCACCAGACCTGATCAGACTTCGACAGAACAGTAACATGGAGGTGGTTGTCATAATGTTGGGGGCTTGACTTACAAACCCCTGCTGTCAAACGCCAGGTATTCCTCCATCAGACCCTCCACCTCTATCACCCTGGGTTTGAACTGACTGCTGGATGAACTGGAGGAGACAGGAGCTCCGTCCAGGTCTGCAGAGGAGGAAGAGGAGGTGACCAGAGCCGCCCTCCGGCCCTGGACATTCAACCTTCACAGCAAGAACACACACACACGGTGGAGAACGTTATAAAGACTCCTCACAGACAGGAGCTCTCAACTGTACCCTACACAGCACCACCTATCTCTTGGATACAGATACAGTATAACGTAAATTCTTATTTATTTTGTGCTGTGTGTTTGAAATGTCTTAGTTGGTGGTAAAAGAGATGACACTGCTTAAAAAAATGTTCTGGTCTAGAATTCTGCATCAGGTGAATTTAGAGGCCAGAGAATCTAGGTCACAAAACCACAGAGTCAGCCAAGACCTGTCTATAATTGATGCAGTGGCACCAGTCATCAGGACAGAGAGCAAACCAGCACAGAGTCAGAGTGGATTAATCATGATTAATTGTTAATAACATTGTGGTCACATTTCTGTTTATTCTACTACTGGACAAACACTCCCTGTGTTTTGATCTCCTCTAAAATGTCAGGCCTTCTGAGCCACAAACGTCCCTCTGATTGGCTCTTGCCCCTTACTTTGACACCTGTCCATATTCATCTGTACCAGATTTTTTTTGGCCTCATTTTCACTTTTGAACAAAGATCGAGTCTCTAATAAAACCTGAGTCCAGTCAGTTGGGGTCAGTCGGGTTCAGACTCACTCTGCTCCACCTCTGCTGTCTTTTTCCTGGATCTTCACCACGCTCTCCTTACTTCCTGAGAGGCTGCTGGACGAGTCTCCTTTCCCTGAGGTAGCGTACCACTGGAAGCCCTCATCACTGGGATCCACCAGTTGAGTCCCCAGGATCCTAGGTGTGATGAACACACACACACACTCACAGATTTGTCTCCTACCAAACAACTTTACAAAGTCATCAGAGGAAAGTCTCGTTACCTCAGGTGTGGGAAACGCGTGGCCCACTGCTGACACTCCTCCTGAAGCCCCGGGAGAATCCCGCCGCCGCTGCCTTTGCCTTCATACAGCTCTTTGTCGATCTCCTCAAACATCTGCTGCACCTGACGAGATGCCGCCTTGTCAAACTCCTGAGGAACGAACATCAGAAGAGACAGGCGGGCGGGGAAGTGAACCGTTGTTCTGTTCTCTGAGTCCAGACTCAAGAGAGACTGAAAAAACGAATGCGTTTCTTCAACCGTTTCCAGCTCAAAACACTGTGTGATTAAACCATGTTTTATATTTAGTAAGATGGGATGAGAGGACACCGAGTGCTGGAAAAGTTTTGAAGGACAAGGACAGAAAGTTGGCGTTTCCTGATCAGAAATCCGTTGAGATTTGAATTAAATGGGACTCGTTTTGTAAACATCCGTCCATAATCTATTAGATTTGAATTAAATGGGACTCGTTTTGCAAACATCCGTCAAGAAATTCTGCAGCAGAACCCTGAGTCATTTGGAGACAAAAATTTGAGTGGATCCTTCAGACAGATGTGACAAAATTTCAACTGGTTATTTTATAAATAGTAGCTGTGTTCAATTGTCACGAGTGTGGACTGTGCCCTCCTGTGGCCATAGATGATATGGCATACAGTGGACTTCCTAGATACGAGTTTAATCAGTTCTACAACAGCACTCGTATCTAGATCAAATTTACTACATTAAAAATAACTAAAAACCAATTCATTCGTTACAGCCTCCCAGAAATATACTATTACCCCATCTTAACATCAAAAACATAGATATAAACAATATATTAATAATACAAAATAATAATAATTAAGAAAACATTTTATATTACATTTTATATATAGCGAGGGACAGTGAGCAAGACAGCATCAGAAAGAGTGGGAGAGAGAGATAGAGAGAGAAAGAAAATGATGAGAGAGAGAGAGAGCGAGATAGAGAGAAAGAAAATGACCAAGCGAGGGACAGTGAGCGAGACACTAATTGTAGAAGGATTATATTTTTTATTTTTATTTTATACAAAAACTAAAAGTTAATCTTCATCACTACTATATCATCAGCATCACTATTTCATCATCATCATCATCGTCGTCAACAGTCTGATCTGAGTCATCCATTATCTTTATCTTAAGGGGGGTAACGTCTTCTTCGTCACTGTCCTTCCTTTTCTCCCCCACCCTAACGCCCTCATCCCCCTCCTCTTGAGACGGGCTCTCTCTGAAGTAGGCATTCATGGTCATTTGTTTGTTCCTACTTTGGAAAATGTTCCTGAAGTAGGAAACGCACGTATCGTTAAACAGAGAGACAGCACGCCCCACAGAGGCCGTCTGAGGGTGTTTCGTCTCCACAAAATTTGCTACGTGCTGCCAGTGGTCCAGGAATTCCTTCAACGCCTTGGTAGTGATGCTCTTCTCCTCCTCCTCCTGCAGTTTTATGTTTGTTGAAGGAGTGGCCATCTCGCCTAGCCGCTCCATATGGGTGATTTTCTCCATGTTGATCTCCTCTGAACGCTCCTCCGCAAGCTCGTTAAGATCAGCACCGGTAACATCGATGTCCACAGATGAGCCGAGGCTGACTATCTCCTCAGCAACTTCGTCCTCACTCTCAAACCTTTCAAAGTCGCAGTTCACCAATTTTGCAAAGGTCGTGACAAACGCGGCAGCTGCTTTGGCATCAGAGCTCACTCCGTCCCCATGTCGTATGACTGAATAGATGCCGGTCCTCTTCCTAAATTTATCAAACCACCCATAGCTGGCCTTGAATTGTTCAGCGGCTGGGGTGTTCGAGGATGTCGATGGGGCGTCCTGCGCCAGGTCACTGTAGATAGCGCGGGCCTTCTCACAAATTATTGCCTTAGTTATGGCGCCACCTGCCAGATGCTTTTCACGGATCCATATAAGCAAAAGTCTTTCCATCTCGTTAATGACTGGAGATCGCCGTTTTGATAAAATAGAAACGCCCTTAGCGGGTGTTAGACCTTTAAGGGCCTCCTTCTGCTTAAGGATAGTACAGATGGTTGACGCACTGCGGTCGTACATCTTGCAGAGATCTTTAACCCGTGCACCATTATCGTGTTTTTGAACAATTTCCACCTTAATTTCAAGGGGAATGGGCTTTTTCTTCCTTAAACTAGCTCCAGGGTTTAACTTCTTGGGACCCATGATGATTTGCACTAACGGTTCAGAGAGAGTACATAACTCGACGAAGATTGCTGAGAGAGTGAGACAGAGGACGGAGGTGACCTGGGATCAGGCAGGAAAGCGTGGATACAAGCGAAACCCTGCCTTAACCTGTATGTGGGGGGTTTTCAAATTCTGGTGGAAAAATGGAGCTGGGTCAGGCACTCGTAACTAGATATTCCCACGTATCAGGAGCAAAATCTTGCAATAGTTGCAGACTCGTAACATGGAATTTTCTGGGAAGTTTCGGGAAACGCGTATCTAGGGTGTACACTGTATATTTTGTTCACATATAAGTCGCACCACCAGCGACACTGCATAAAAAAGATGAAATCATAGTCCAGAAAATCCAGTCAATAATAACTGTGTGCCAGTCTGTGATTTGCTCAACGGTGACAACTGCTGGTCAACTTAAACGCATCAGACAAAGACTGGTGTCGTCACTTCACTTACATCGTAGCCCCAGGAGAAAACTGAGCTCCTCTCTGTAGAAAGTCCAGTCCCTGAGGAGCTGTGGAAACCTGACCAGGACTGAGCCGAGTCCACGGAGATGACGGTCAGACAGTCAGAGTGGCCCGAGGTGGCAGACGCCTCCGAGCTAAGACACAGGAACAAAGAGTCATGGAGGGAGAGTAAAGTCTCTGTTGAGCCATAACACAGGATTTGTTCAGGGGCTGTATCTACCCCTTGCCCCCCGGCCATAACACAGGATTTGTTCAGGGGCTATATCTACCCCACCCTCACCCCCCAGACTGGGTTTCAAAGTGGAAAGTAAATGTCAAATGTCAGAGTACTAGAATATTCTAACAGCCGGCCTCATTACCTATTCTTTTAATTGTACATCTGAAGAAGGAAATATGATATCAATTAATCACCGGCCTGTGAGTGTTATGTGTCACACACTGGGCACACTGAGAGTCAGTGCTTCACATGACAAGGTGGAACTACAGCAACCACAGGCAGCACTTAGCATTAACTCTGGTCTCTGTCTGTGAAGACAACACTGGTCTGGACGTCTCTGAGCAAAAATAAACACTGCGCTCATCCTCAGGTACCTGTTGTGAGTGGAAAGAGCTTCCTGGAGGTCGTGGAGGTAGTGCTGGGGGGTTTGGTTATCATCTGCCTCCTCTGGAAGAGGATGGTGGTCGAGACTACTCCGAGACAAGCCACGTCTGAGGAGAAATTTGACCAAAAAAAAAAAGAAGATGGCTGAACAACAAGCAGAATTTATCCTTAATAAAAGTACAGAGATTAATTAGAATAACAGATCTGAGATAATATCAACTCTATACTAATCAATAAATTAAAAACTACAATTTGTGGCTCCACAAAGAACTAGCAACACTAAGCTAAAGCTTTTGCAACGTATAGCTATGAACAAACATTCAATGATTTTACAATACCAGTCAATTTGGATAATAAGATTTTTTTATTTTTTGGCTGTCTTAGACCTCGAGAAAACCAGGTCACTGATATACAGCTGTTTTCATACTCACATCTCAAGTTTGTGTGACACTGCTCTCCTGTTGTACCGGGAAATCATCCTCCCTCGTCTCTGCTTTATGAACTCACACCCTCGTCTCTCATTCTCCCGTCCTCCTCCTCCTCCTCCTCCAGGACTCGCTGGAAACAGTGTGAGGAGGAGACTGGCATTTCTTTTAGTCCGAAAATACAAGCACCCGGTGCAGCCAGACCAAGCTGAACATGGATCGGGCCAGTGAAGCTAACGCTGCTTCTTATCTGCAGGAGGAAGTTACGTGTGGCTTACGCTTGGGTTACAGAGAGCGACGGATATAAACAATAGCACGAAGGCATAACCATCACTATATCAATGCGCAAAATGCCTCACTATGTCAGCATTTTGAATTTTATATCGATACCATACAAAATATAAAATATAAGGTATTTTTGCTAACTACCGTCACCTCGGAGGATATTTTCCTGCTGCTATCAGTGCCAACAACATGGCTACCATGGAGACACGGCTTCGCTGTCGCGGTGTCTCACGGGAAAATGATTTCCTCATAACACTCGTTAGCCTCATAGTCACGTCGTTGACTCACTACGACTCCCAGAGTGCATTGGGTCCGGAATAGCGGGAAGACGATCTCTAATCACGTAAATATTTTTAATAAACAAAAACGTTTTAATACCACGAATAAGTAATGTATTTTTAGGCTATAATGTTTTATTTAGTAAAAAATAAGTAAACTGTGTGTAACGAAAAAAAATCAAAAAAAATTTAGAGAGTAGGAACCTTTGTTGGTGCAGTGTCGGAGTGAGTCGAGTTAAATTTGCTGTGGGACCCAAACAGTGACAAGCGTGACAGCAACGTACATGGATAGTAGAAGTTTCATTATTTTAATATAAAAAGATTTAAGCCATCACAAGGTAGGAGTTCGTCAGCAAATTATTTCATAATACTATAAGAGTGGACTTTTAGTTTAAAAGACAGACACGTTCGTAATCTTCACTTGAAAAATATCTCTTAGTCTATAAATATCACATTGTACCATCTCTCCTTTTCTTCATCGGTTCTCTCTGTAGAATGGAAACCCTGCAGAGAAGAGTGATCAGTGAGGATACGGTTCAGTACAAACTGTTCCTGGTCCAAACAGACGATCCATCGTCACAGCAGACAGAGGAACATCTCACACAACTAGCGGAGCAGATTTTAGCAAACGTTGCTCCGCTTTTGATTCAATTCATTTGGCAGAATCAGCCATTTAACCTCAGATATCACTCGGAGAAAGGTACTGTTAAATTCGTAAAGGCAGGTTGGTTCTATTGTTTACGTGATACTTTGCGCTGACAGCCTTTGTGGAATTGAATCGACAGGGGGCGTCCCTGCTCACATTGGAGGCAGCACTCAGTTTGGGGATAACGTGGAGGACGAGTGGTTTATTGTTTACCTACTGCAGCAAATCACGGAGAACTTCCCCCAGCTCGCAGCCAGGTGGAGTCATTTTTCACCTTATTATAAAGTAATCCCACAGTTCAGTAGAATTATAATCAATGGTCTGTTTTTGACATTTGTACAGAGTTGAGGACAATGACGGTGAGTTTCTTCTGATCGAAGCCGCAGATTATCTCCCCAAGTGGTTGAATCCTGACACCAGCGAAAACAGGGTGAGAAATCAGCAACCACCTTTGTACATTTAACCAAGGAAAGATTTTGGTTGACAAATGAAATTTAAATTCTTGAGAATTATTTTCTCTCCTTTGCAGGTGTTTTTCTATCAGGGAGAATTACACATCCTTCCTTGTCCGTCCAAATCCAGTCCACTGGGAATTGCCAAGGATGTGGTACCCAGTGTGGCACAGGCTCTGTCGTTGCTCTACACCCAGCCTGACGCCTGCAGAGCAAGTCCAAAAATAACTGCTGCTGTGAAGAAACGATTAGAAGGGTAAACAGAAAAACATGTCCAAAACCATGTCTTAGACCAGTCAGAGTTGTTATTAAAATTAAAATAACAAACTTCATTATCTTTTGTTGGTAGGTATCCAGAGAAGATTGGAACCAATCTCCATCGTGCTCATTGCTTCGTACCTGCGGGCGTCGCTCAGGTGTTGACACTAAGACCAGACCTGGTCGCTCCTGCAGTGTCAGCCTTTTATCTGCGGGATCCAGTAGATCTACAGGCGTGCCGGAGCTTCAGGACGTTCCCTCCTGACACGCGGGTCTTGACCTCGGTAAATATGGGACAGTAGCTGAGCAGACGGAACAGAGTGTGACGTTCATTGACGTTCTACATTGTTCTTATCTTCTCCGTGTCTCTGTCCTCACTCTACACCCTCAGGTGACGTTCACCCGCTGCCTGTACGCTCAGCTGCAGCAGCAACACTTCAGCCCCGACCGGAGGAGTGGCTTCTCTCTGCCTCCGAGTTCCCATCCTCAGTACAAAGCTCACGAGCTGGGAATGAAACTGGTTCAGTATTTGTTTCTTATTAGACGGACAATAATGAGAATTAAATAAGAAGTAAACCTTTTCTTTTCTTTTTTTTAAACCTTTTGGTTTATTAAATAAGAAGTAAACCTTTTCTTTTTTTTAAACCTTTTGGTTCCTGTTTTTCTCCCTGCTCTGACCTCAGGCCCATGGCTTTGAGATTCTGTGTTCTAAATGCAGACTGCCGTCGTCTGAGCCCGACGCCCCCGTCAGCTGTAACCCTCAGTGGAAAGGATTCCTGGGCAGTCTGAAGAGCAACGGCTACTTCAGGGTGAGTCGGGGAGAGAGGGTGCTGAGGCCACATGGAGGATTTTACAAAGATCCAAATATAAGAACAAAAAAAGCAAAAAGTTGTCAGAACAAAGTTGTGGCATTTGGATAATTCTCTTGATACACATGGTGACATTTCAAAAACTTTTTTCTTGTAACATTCAACTCTTTTTAATGTTAAAACACAAATAAGTTAGTGAAACCATGATTCATTTTTTTCAAACTTTTTTTTCCATTTCAGGATAAATAATAATGATAATAAAGTTGTGTAAAAAAACAGTCAGTGTTTTCACTTCATATTTCTGACGTTGGCAGGAAGAACTGGAAGGTTCCGCTCGGTGGAGAGAACTGATGAGATCTGCAGAAAACTTTTTCAGACAATCAGTGGCTTCATCGTCATGGTGAGATCTGTGTGTGTGAGCGTAGAGTCGACACAGTGTTTGTCTGTGTGTGTGTCTGACCACAGACTTTTCTGTCAGTGTTCTGTCTCCAGGTCAGGAGGTTCTTCAGACCCTGCGCAGCTGCAGCGCTCCCAGTGTGGAGGAGCTGAAGACGCAGGAGTCGCAGCTCCCCCAAGAGGACAGTAGGTGTATTTTTGTATTTTTTTATATTCGTTCAGAATGCTTAAATCTTGGTTTTGTTTGTTGACTAACGCCTTACTTCACATATTTATAATTATTTTCTTTGTCCTCTTCCTCAGGTGACAGCTGGCTGAACATCACAGCTCAGGATCTGGAGCAGATGCTGCAGGAGAGGAGCAGTGGTCAGGTTCATGTCAGCGGCCAGAACTCCAGCCAACAGATGAGCTCGCAGGTCAGACGTGTGTCGGACGAGAAGGAGGAGGAGAAGGAGGATGAGCAGGAGAAAGACAGCAGCTACAGCCTGGTAGCCGTCAGTCAGGGGATGAAGAACTTCCTCAGTGCCATGTCGTCACACGAGGGCGCTGAACTGCCCTGGTCAGACTCTTCAGGAACTGTTTTTGAATGTCACCCAGATTAGGTGAGGTGTTTCTGACACTTCACGTCTCTGTTCTCCTGCAGGAGCAGCTCCTGTCGTCCGTTCAGCCTGGAGCCTGACGTCATGGCCGGTGCTCTGGACAAACTGCTGGGTTTGTGAGAAGATGTGGAGGAAAAAAAAATTCAACTCATGTTCAGAGAGTTTTTGGTAAAATCCTGTGTTTATATTCACTGTTGTAGGAGGTGAAGAAAAAGAAGAAGAAGAACTGGATTCAGATGATCTGGATGAGGATGAGGAGGACGATGAGGAGGAAGAAGGTGAAAATGAAGAGGAGGAGTCTTTGGGCCACGATGAGATGAACGGAGCAGAAAGTTTGGACAGTCTGAGGAGATACATGGACCAGATGGACCAGGAGCTGATGGACACTAATGTTGGGAAAAGCTTCAGTGTAAGAAGAACATCTGAATGTTCACCGAATCCTTCTGTGGCCTTCAACCTTCTTCAGATTTATTCTACTTTCTTTTCTTCTTCTTTTAATTTTTTTTTTACAGAATCACAACAAGGCAGCCTCAGTTCACGCCCCCGGCTCCGACGCTCTCCCAGGAGAGGGAGGTGAAGAGGAGGAGATCCAGCCTCTGGATGTGGACTTGAACCTGATCTCCAACCTGCTGGAGTCTCTCAGCTGTCAGGAAGGTCTGGCTGGACCGGCCTCCAACCTGCTGCAGAGCCTGGGGCTGCACCTGCCGCCAAACTCTGACGGCCAGCAGTGAGCCGCACAGACGGTTCTGGACGGGTCTGGATGGTTCTGGTGTCCTCGGTTGAACGTGTCTGTCATTGTGTGTGATCACACACTCATACAGGATTTTGTTTTTGTAGTGTTTTTGTAACAACAGAGAAATACAATAAATATTTTTGCAAATAAATTTGTCCTTAAAAAAAAAATCCACAGACGTAACCATGCTGAACCTGGTGCTGGTTCTGGTCCTGGTTCTGAGGTCATCCCTAAGTGTAAACGAACCGTGATACAAGACCAGTTCCACAGCACAGTTGTTGAGGTGATGTCACAGAACGGAGACCAACATCTTGAGAACCTGTTCTGCTGAGAGCAGCATCGCCGCAGACAGTGGAGACACGCAGAGAGCCGTCGCGAACACCAGGAAGTTGAGGAGCATTCCCAGCAGCAGCAGAGCCAGCAGGTATCCATGGAAGAGCAGGCTGTTCCAGCTGCCCTGACTCAACACCTCCCCTGGACCGTCTGGGTGGAGGAGCCACAGGAGGCCCAACACCCACATCTGGACCACCAGCTGGGCGTGGAAGAGGTGAAAAACGGACGTGGAGTCGTCGGAGTGGTGGAGACGCTCGGCCTCAGATACTTTGAGGAGCCAGTTGAGGGAGAGACAGTGGAGCAGTGAGGCCAGAGGAGCGTAGAGGTTCTCCAGAGGTTCCACCACGGACACACCACTGGAGACTGAAGAGAGAGAGAGAGAGAAGTAAACAAGAAGACGGAGGACGGGACGATCTGAGCTGGAGAACCAACGGTTCACGACGACGCTCACCTGCCGCGACCAGACACGTCCCACTCAGCATGGACACCAGGACGCAGACGTGGGCTGAAGGCGGAGTCGACAGCTTCAGGATGAAACTGAAGGCTGCGGTGAGGAGAGGCAGCAGAGGGAGAGTGACAGAGAAGAGTCCAGAGGAGGAACCGTTGGCCTGAGCCCACAGAGACAGAACCGTGAGAACGCTGCCACAGATGGAGGGAACCAGCAGCTTCTCAGCCAGAGAACAGGAGACGGGCTTCAGAGGAACCAGACCCAGAAGATGGAGCAGGTTTAGAACCAACAATGACACAAGAACCTGGAAGAAAAATACACTGTATATAATGACAGACAGGCTGCAGTTCCTCTGGTCTCCTCTAGGTTTTTAGACTTAATTTAAACAAAGAATCAGCAAAAAATGAGTCTGTCATCAATCAGTGAAAGTGGTCTGTGCTCATGTCTTACAGCAAGAAGGTCACAGGTTTGAGCCCCAGCTCTAACTGTTTGTTTTATGTTGGTACTGATTGTTCCTCCGTAGCTGTGGTTTTAAACTGGGTCACATTTAACCTTCACTTCTCATTTACTAAGTCAACCATTTGGTTAAACATCCATCAGACCAACGGAAATACTAACACACACACACACACACGATCCAAAAAACACACTCACACAAACAGCCCCTAATGTGAAAGTACATATTTGAGGGACCAGGAACCGACCTGAGCGAAAGAGAGCGCCACCACGTACGGACAATGGTACTGAGGGATGAAGATTCCGGCCACGAAGTTCCTGAGTTTGTCCAGCAGGACGTAGACCACTGTGAGGACCAGACACAGGACGTGGACCAGAGGTGATGTGGTGCTGCACCACCCGCTCCTCCACCTGCACACAGGAGCAGAGGCGAATCAGACGAGTGGCCCAGACCTGACAGGTCAAGTCGACTGGACTGGGTTGGATGGATGGATGGATGGATGGATGGATGGATGGATGGATGGAGTCAGTAAGATGATGTCCATCAGACATTATTACCTGGTACTTCTAGAACACACTGTCATCTTTGGCTGAAGTTCTTTCAGCTGAAGAACCAGGATCTGTGTGTGGAGAATGAAGACAAGTCTATAATGACCTGAGACAACAGGTCACCAGGTCAAGTCCACTCAGATGTCCACACCTCACCTGACCTTCTGATGATGTCTCAAAAATAAAGGATTGTTTTTTTTTGTTTTTTTTACCCAGACTCAGAGAAAAGTCTGGCTGTGGTCAAAAAAATCATAGTTTTATAAAGAAACAGTGGAATTACTGATTTTTAAAATCTATTCCACTCACCGGTCTGTTCTTCACTCCCTCCGATGACACGTCTTCTCCTCGACACTGGTCGTTTTTCTCTCACTGTAGAAAATGAGTCCTCCTCTGGAACAGGAGCTGGTTCCAAACTCTCTCCTCCCCCACCCTCTCCCTCCAGAGGTCATTCACCTCATTTCCATTTCCACTCTGTCCAGATGGACTTTGCTCTCGCTGTTTGTTTTCCCATAGTTGGACCATGTGGACCAGTCAAAGTTATTCATCAGTGATGATCATCAGGACAGTGGACATCTATGATATGACCCCGGTCACACCTGAGAACACAAATAATTTAATATTAAACTACACATGGGTTCAACTGCATTGGTTTCTAAACAGGAGGAAAATTCCCCGAGTCTGACCCCGAAGACCTCGGTCCACTCTGGACCCCCCGCCCCCAGGCTTCGGTCACATCATGTCCTTCGTCAAACACATGACCGCACCAGTGAACAAGAGTAAACACACTGAGTGAGGCACGAGGATGGAGGGAGGCCACAGGTTCAGGAGCTGCTCCCAGAATCCTTCACTCCTATGTGTGTGTGTGTCATTAGCAGTGATGTCACGATTACAGTTTATTGTCAGAGAATTTATCACGATATTTCGAATATCACGATTATTGTTAATTGATTTCACAACATTCCATGTAGGTCTTAAGTTATTAATAATCAATTGTGAGTTATAATAATAATATTTATTATGTGGTCAACATAATATGTGGTCAAAATAATCCAACACGGCTGGTAAAATGCGCTTGATTGAGGGGAATAACTCTTCTTCGTTTTCTTCTTCTTCTTCTTCTTCCATTTTCCCACGTGGTCACGCCTCTATTCTGCAATTTGAATGGACCGTAAACAAAGCAACACACGCGGAAACACGCGGACGTTGTGTAACGTTGTTTTCGTTCCGTTTGAGTTGGGCTTAAATATAATTCCGGCATAATATTTTCGGACAATATTCAGGAAACTTTAACGAATAATTAACCGTAGCGCTTGATACGGCAATTAATTGTCGTATCGTGTAATCGTGACATCTCCAGGTTTGGTTAAAGACATTTCTAAGTTTGGTTAAAGTAACTGTGTTCGTCACAGATACCAGTTGCAGCACGGCCGCCCTTGGTCTTTGCCCCCCCTGGTGGTTACCAGGGGAAACGCAGAGGGAGAAGGGGAGCACTTTCATACATCAGTGATGAAAAAACACCGCGGTAGAAGTCAATTTTTCACTTTATTTGTTTAAAGTTGTTACAAAAAGTGTTTGCTAGAAACATTCTTTGCATTTTGCTTGAACAAGCAGGAGAAGAAGACGAGACGAGAGGAAGAGAGCGATAGAGACACAAGGACAAACTGGTGGTGGAGGTGAAGGGGGGAGGACGGGGGAGATAAAAAAAACACAGCGCGTGAGGAGTGTGAAGCCCTTACTCACACACTGAGGAAGGAAACAATACTGACTGAGTGAAGGAGGCCTGGGATCCTGGAGAGATGGTGATGACATCATGGACTGAAGACTGTAGCAGTGTGTGTGTGTGTGTGTGTGTGTGTGTGAAAGTCTGTTTTTCTCCCTGAGGTGATTCAATGTGACTTAAAGTCTGATCACTAATAAAATGATCTTTGTGCAGGAACAGGAACAGGAACACACTGGACTGAGGACTGGACTTCATACAATCATCTGGTACACACTCCAATACAATCTCAACCTCTCTCTCTCTTCCTCTCTCCCTCTAGGTACCTGCAGGATTACTGTGCAAAAAAGAGTCATTTTGGCCCAAACTGGTCACTCATCTGTGTGAGAGGCCAGATCTTGGACCACATGACCACCAGCTTGTGACAAAGGCAAGCCAGCGATGCTTTAACTGACCTAGGAAAAAGTCGACTGGCCGCGCCCTGCTAGCTGGAGTCTTCTACTCCCTAAAAACACGACTCAAGTAGACCGGACCCTAAAGTACAGAGAGTGAGAGACAGTGGTGCCTTCGATGTCCTGGTAAAATGGACATGCATTACTGTACTCTCCAGTTAGAGGCGCTGTTTCTGCCACAAACAACTTTTTAAAAAATGTTGTGAAATCCCAGATCTGTGGGAACTTCACGAGGGGATGCTAACATCTTTTTACAGTACGACCACAGCACAGACCACGTGAACACGTCAGGTCACTCCGTCATCAACGATAGGTCAGAGGTGACATCAGCAGTTGTCGGGCAAACTGTCCCTTCATCCTGTTAGTGTGTTCACAATAAAGTTTAAAAAAGTTTAAATGCTACCACCATCAGACTCTAGGGTGAACAGTCCATGACCATGAAGGGGCCGCTCTCCAGCTGTAACGCCCCACACACACCTCTGGGGGGGGTCTTTCCTAACGACACCTAATATCAGAGAAGCCTCTGGAACGTCGACGAGCTCCTTCACCAGTCACTAAAACATTTGTTTCCTCCATTATTTACATTTAGACGTTTGATGAGACGTGACTCCAGGGTTCACGCTGAGGTCACGTTGAATAAACATCAGACACGCAGCCGATTGAGGACCAAAAATTTAAAAGTGAACCGGGTCGGATTTGTCCTGAAACATCAAATATGGGTCAATTATGACAAAAAAAAAATAGTGACAACAAGTGACCTTTTAGCCCCGGGGGTCAAACAGTGGGTCAGAGGAACATCACAGGTGAATGATGAACACAGAGCCCTGATAGAAACATACAGACACACACACACACACACACACACACACACACATACTGGTAAAGGGAGTTCAGTGATACAAAGCCATGCGGGGGTGTGTGCGTGTGTCAAACCTGAGTCAAAGAGCTACAGTTGTGTGTTTCAGACGCTTGGAACTGTTTGCACCGTCATCGGTACCGATGAGGGGAACAAGAACATTCACATTCTCTCCTGACCTCAGACAGTGACCACGACATGTGACCATCAAAATACTTCAAAGGTACTGCACAGCGTCAGGGCGGGTGTTCTACTCTGGGGTGTGGGCTACATAGCTGCAGGGTCCTGGTCTACACCTGTGACTCAGACACATGACAGTCGACAAACTTAAAGGGAAAACATTATTCAGACACCGCTTTTCCCATAATGCATCTGAGGGGTTCTTTTCAGAATCTATTGCTCTGAATGTTGAGGCGGCCTCGAGGTGACCTAGATAAGACGTGACCTTTGACAGAGTGAAGACAGACAGAGTGGACAGACAGGCTGCAGGGACGAGGACGCAGAAGACGGACAAACCACAGAACAGACAGACGGAGGAGAACGTCCTCAGAACACTCCTTAAATCATACTGTATTTTCTCATTTAAACGACGTTTTCTCATTGGTTCCTGGACCATAAATAAAAGCTCTTTGTTTTAAATTAGCTCAGAGACATGTACACGGAGGAGTACTGCAACATTCACCGCCTGAATAAAAACCATTCGTCCGCACCGCCACCTGCTGGACGTTTAGATAAATACTGTTGTGAAAAGTCATTTATTAAAGACACAGATTTAAACTCAGCTCTGGTCTGTGTTTGGTGTGTGTGTGCGTGTGTGTGAATGTGTGTGTGTGTGTGTGAAAATATAGATCTTTATCTTTGTCGTCATTCATGAAAAAAAAGCAATACAAAGGTCACTTAAAAATCAGGGAGAGAAGACAAAAAAAAAAAACAAGGTCCATAAGAAAGTTCTGAGTCTCATCTGGAGGAAGAGGTGAAGAGGTCCATCTTCGTCCTCATCCTCCAATAATTCCCCCTCCCCCAGGTGTGTTAGTCCAGCGGTCCCTGGAAGATGAGTCTGACGAAGCCCTGCTCCCCGTTCAGCTGCTGGGCACAGAAGGGACAGGCAGCGTGGAAGGTGTGCGTGCCGTGGGGGAGTGGGATCTGACTCCAGAATCCCGCCGTCTTCTCCGAGGAAACGTGGCCGCAGGGATTAAAGGCGTGAGTAGGGGGCGCTGCGTCCACGTAAAAGCCCGACTCACAGCCCAACCACAGCGGCACGTACGGCCCTTTGGCCCGACACATGGGGCACCC